GTCCCGCATTAGGAATATCACCCATGAGTAAGCCAAAATTCTTTAGTACTATTTTTAGTAGTAGAACTTTCCCAACCAGTTCATACAAGAGTGCGAGGTCATCAAAAGTGACATTCTTAACAAAAACGTTTAGACTTGGAGAAAGTGATCTATATCAGTATGTAATAAACAAAGTCCAGAAACAGGAGAATTTAATTAAGACTTCACATTAAGACTGTCACACATGGCTCTTTAAATATTTGAGTGTGGATAAAGTGAGGATTCCTGTGGCCAGGATTCCCACCTGGCCCTGATTGGCTAGCTCACTACATGGACAATATGTTGCTATTGACTCTATATAAAGAGCTCCGCTCTGGGCAACACGGTGGCACGGCTGGATGGCTGCAGGAGAGCAGAGACTGAGACGGCTGCGGAGGCAGAGAGGCCCAGAGGCAGAGACCGGCTTGCTGCCTGCAGACTCGCTCTGAGTGGACGGGATTCTAGTGACTGACCTGCCATTGTAGGAATAAAGCTGGGTACAAACCCTTTCACCCTGAGAATGTATATTGTCATTCTTTGGTCACATTGAATCCATAGTGAACTTGTCCGGAGCTAAAACCCATTGGCAGGACAATTGGCAACAGCTGGAAGGATTGATTCATTGTGGACAGAGGAACAGAACGGGCTGCCCTCCGGGGAGGAGTGCTTCAGCGGGCTGTGCTGAGTGCGGAGACCTTTGCCTGCCCCCCAGTGGACATGCGGTCTGACGTGGCGGCCTCCTAGAGGACTGGGCTCCACCCCAAGCCTGGGAGGAGGGGGAGGCAACACCTGAGGCAGTGAGGTTGGCGCTCAGCAAAAGAGGGGATTCCTTAGAGACACAGAGTGCCCGTGAGTGAGGCTGCGGAACCGTGGGGAGTTTTTTCTCACAATATTGAGAAAAGCTGTAAGGGAGAAAGACATCCTCCTTCGGGAAGCAGAGAACGTGAGCTGTGAGGAGCAGTTGAGGAGGTAAAAAGTTTGTTGGTGATTGAAATGGCGTCACTACAAGGTGCTGTGGAAACGGTAAGGGGTGTCACGGTAGCCCGAGAGGAAGGCCCGAGAAGGAGCAGCCCTAGAGGGGGCAGCGGCCCGAGAAGGGGCAGCAGGAGAGCGCAGGCTGCCGGGTGCCGGGGGGCAGGTGAAGGGTGGAGTGGTGGAGGAGCGGAGGTCCGACGAACAGGTGGGGGTGGAGGCCCTGCTGGTGCCGTAGGCATTCGTTCCTCCTTGGTTGAAACCCCACCTGCTTGAAAACTGGTAGGCAGCCCAAAAGAAAATAAAGACTCAGCAACCATGGGTTCCTCCGGGAGGGGTGCGGCCCCCTCCCCAGGCCGTGGAGCACCCCATGCTCCGCTCCTATCCTCAGGCTCAAGCAATGAAAGCCCAAAAGGAAATATGGTCAGCTACTCAAAGGGAGAATATAAGGGGCCCCGTGTAGTTCACGGGGACCCAGATGTGGGTTGATGTGATAAAGGCAGGAGCAGACAGAAAGGAATTGGATGGAAAATCGAACAGACAGGAGCTGTGGCAACAGCTGAAACCAGACCAGCGGTTCTGGCCGCTGAGGACGAAGCAAGAGCCAGAGACAAAGCAACAAGCTCGGCCTGTGTATCTGCGGGAGAGGCTGGAGAAGGTGGGTGTTGTGAGGCCCACCACGGTCCTTTTGGTTAACTCATCTGAGTAGAACTGGTTTGAATACACCTGCAATGACCATGTGGTGGCAAGGGATCTCCTCAGGCTTGCGGATTATTACAATTTGTTGTAATTTTTGTTGTTTGTATATTGTTGTAGCCTCTGTTGTTGTTATGGAATTTGGTTACAGTGTTCCAGCTTTCTCACACAGGGACCATTGCAGAAGATTGAGGGCACATAGACTGAGAGGCAAGAATCCTAGAGGGGTTGAGTGTGGATAAAGTGAGGGTTCCTGTGGCCAGGATTCTCCCCTGGCCCTGGTCGGCTCGCTCACTACACGTGTGTGGGCAATACACTGTTACGGACTCTCTATATAAGAGCTCCGCCCTGTGCTCTGGACGACGTGGGGGCATGGCCACACGGCTGCAGGAGAGCGGAAGTTGGAGTGGTGGCAGCACCAAGGACAGAGACTGAGACAGCTGCAGGGACAGAGGCCCAGAGGCAGACACCGGCTTGCTGTGTGCAGACTTGCTCTGAATGGATGGGATTCTTATGATTGATCTGTCCCTGTGGGAATAAAGTTGGGTATGAACCCTTTCAGCCCAAGAACATATATTATCATTCTTTGGTCTCATTGAATCCATAGTGAACTTGCCCAGGGCTAAAAACCGTGGCAAGACACATGTAATTCAGATATGTACAGAAAATACAAAATAAAGACGCCAACATTTAAGTCTGCCCATTCTTTCCTCAGCTCCTTGAAGTCTACTGATGCATGCATCAGAGGCATTCCTCATTTCTCTAATTTCTAGCATTTCCTTTTGATTCTTTCAGTTTCCATCTCTCCACTAGCATTACCTCTGATCTTTCATGTAGTGTACTTTTCCCATTACATCCCTTTACATATGAATCATCGCTCTCTCAATTGCCTGATGATGCAAACATCTGTGTCATATCTAAGATTGGATCTGTTGATTGCTTTGTCTCTTCAGCCTCTGCTTTTTCTTGCCCTTTGGCATGCCTTATACTTTTGTTGTTGTCACTGAAAGCCAGATAATGCTATTGGGTAATAGGGCACCAAGACAAGTAGCTCTTTAGTGGAAAAATTTATGTTCATTTGCTGGGAGTTGGGCTGTATTTACTGTTGCTTGTAGCTATGGGTACCAGACTTCCAACTCCTCCATGTCCTGGTTTCTGGCTTTAAGATTTCCTTTTGTATGGCTTCTCAGGGTCTATGTCTTGTAACCGTTTCAGCTGTAATCCTGCTACATTGGTGACTGACTGGTGTGGTGTCAAGTATGGAAGGGGGGAACGTTCTAAAACCTTTTAATCTTGGTCTTTTGGTGGCTTGTCTTGGGAATATGGATTTAACAAGTGTTTGTCTGTTGTCCAAGGAAGGGTACAGCTTTCCCCTGCTTCTACTGTCTTTCCTGCCTGCAGCATTCACAGTTCGTTTCCATGATGTCTTCTCACCTGTTACTATGGAGTTTTTTCCTCCATCAGCCTGGAATGGGCAGGAGTGGAGTGGAGTGGAATTCCCTTCTCCCATTTGGGGTAAGTTTTCAGCATTGCCTGCTGGGGAGATGTGCTTTCTACCAAACAGCAGGCCTTTGTTACGAGAAGGATCTGGAGTGTTTCACCAGAGATATATCATCATTCTTTGGTCTCATTCTAGGGGAATCTTTCTTGGATCCTTCCCATATGAGAGCCTGCGGGCTTTCTACAGGGGAGTTTCTCCCCACCGCAGCCCATTTCTCACCCTCACATTAGTGCTCACTCAACCTCCAGCAACTCATCGAAGTCACGTTAGATGCTCCTGCTCGTTTGCGGCACCCGGCAGCTTTTGCTCCAGGTTATCAGGTGCTGTTTCTGATGTGCCTTTTTTTTCAGATTTTGGAAAGTTGTTTGTCCTTTGACCTCAGTTCTCTGATAGGTCCAAGAAGTCTCTGATTTTGTTTGTCCAGTTTTCTTGCTGGAAGGAAGGGGTTAGCAACTTCTAAGCTCCCTACTCAATGTTGGGAACAGGAAGTGGGGGTCCCAGTGAGGACTTAATTCTTTGTACTTGGCTTCGGGTCACTGTAATGAGTGGGACTCCAGAGTAATCAATGATGCATTCAGTTATGTGGTGATTAATGGCAGGATTTAGAAGAACAGGTTAAAGAGGCACTGTTGGCAAATTACACAGAATAGCTTGTTTGGCGTGGAGGGACCCACAAGAATTAGTCGAAACTGAGATTGGAAATAATGAGGTTGTGCCCAGAGTACATTTGGACTGGGAAATGTTGACAAAACGTTTTTGTGTTTTGTCGCAACATTTAGAAATGGTGATGAAACATTCTGTGGTTAGCACGGAGTAACTAAAAGATTTTGTAAAGGAGAACAGCAAACATGTCAAAAGTGAATCTAGCAACAGCATTAGATAAGCTGAAATAGTACTGGTCTAATAGTATCAAGCTCAAGATTTGGTACCTGATTAGAAATGAAAAGGAGAAATCTAGTAAGGCTGTGATGACTCAATGATAAAGTCAAATTTGAGAGGTGCAGTCCAGGAGCCTGGCTTATAACACGATTAGTTTGACATGCAACCAGAACTCAGATTTCAGAGTCACTAGATTTTGGACTCATCTGCATGGAGACAATAGCTGAAACTGAATGAATATGTGGTCTCTGAGAACAAGGGGGTCAGAACCTGTGAAAATGTGTAAATTTAAAGAGTAGGAGAAAATAAAGCCAGCAGTGGAAAAGCCAGAAATACAGGAGAAAACCAGGACAAGGTGCAAAGGAAATGAAGGCACAAGATGTATTTTTTTCCCCCTCCCAACTTGCGCCTGGCCTATATGGGCAGACACCAAACTACAGGCCTACCCAGTCTCAACAGAAGAAAAGAGCATCCTATGTAGCTTGGCCTGAATGGCTTGCTACTTATCAGTATTACATAAAATTCCTTTTATAGTGGAAATAGATGTAAATGGTTCACAAGAAACGATTAGTGTTTATTAGGTAAGTGCCCACATTTATGATAATGCTTCATTCTGGGAATTTAACTAGGCAGGGGAGTGATTTGTGGTGGGTGTAAAACTGTGATAGCCAAATTTAGTTCATAAAATTACTGTGACCTTAGAGGTAATGATAAATGATTTACTCCAAATGAATATACAACTTTCACAATAGATTGATTTCTTCAGATATTTGTATTTGTATACATGCACTGTATGTATCCGTATATCAAGTACAGTCAGATACTTCACAGCTGATACTTTTAGGGCTTGCTCCTTGCATTGACTGCAGTCAGTGTTTAAAGGAAATCAGGGAATGTTTGGTAAATCTCTTCTACAGCAACAAGGCAGTTTTCATCAAGTTTGTGAAATGTAATTTTATTAACAGAAGGGCATGTCTAGCCAGACACACTACCCCCCAAATAAATAATATCTCAGTATCATTAAAAGCACACAAGTACACAGGTTTACAGGGTACAATACAAAGTCAATTTTGATGGTGTTCTCACTTGCATTTACTAAAATTCTGAGAAAGACTGTATCGATTTCTAAGTAATTACCTTGCATAAAGAGAGAAGTAGAGGACAGTTATTTTAGAGAACATTCTGGAGTGATGATTTGAGAAGACTTTGCTTTAAAAGATATTAAGATACATCACAAATCAAATTACACTCTCTAGAACACTACAACATGGAATTGTACTGAATCAAAAATAAAAGTAGCTGAAGGCGGCTGAATATTTTCTTTCCCAATGTTATAGTAATTCCTATTTTTGGCATGAATTAATAACCTTTTCCATTAGTAGGAAAATGTGCTCTGCAAACTCTCGGAGGGCACCACGGCCACCGTTACATTTGCAAATATACCCAACAGCCTTCTGGGCGGTGGAGCAGGCATCGGCAGGCACGCCACTCAGGCCCACCTTCTTCAAGCACTCCTCATCGGACACTTCATTTCCTAGTGAGTAAAAGAAACACTGGCTGAATACGTATGCGACAAAGAGTATTCTTTCTAAATAATGCTAACACCAACCAGTAAGTAGTAATTCTTGTAACTTCAGTAAGACTTAAGGCACTGCCTGTAAGAATACTATAGCATAGATGCAACAAAAATGTGTGAAAGCATTTACGAGTGTAACCGAGGTCGAAGTTTCTTCCTAAACCATTCAGAATAAACCCTTACCAGTTGAGGAGAATGAAGTATGCTTTCTGATTGCCATGCATATAATAATTATTAGAAATTCTATAAAATAATGAATTATTTAAACTTTTTACCTAGGAAAATTCCAAACACATGCACGAATCCCAAGTTCATGTGGAATAATTATCAATGTTTTGGATCATTTATCAGTATTTTTCTCTATTCCTCACCCCTTAGTTTTTTAGAGGGCAGGGTGAGAAAAGAATTCCCAGACATCATATTTTACCCCAAAACTCTTCACCACCTATCACTAGTAGGTAAATATTTTTTTAAAAGAGTGACAGAGTATTATCAAATTAACAAAGTCAGTAATTTCTTAATATCATTTTCAATTATCCCTACTTGTCTCAAAATTGTTTTTTATAGTTGATTTGAATCAAAAGCCAAACAAGGTCCACATATTACATTTTTTGATATATATTTTAAGTTCTTTGAATCTGTAACAGGTCTGCTTTGTATGTCATTTACTTGTTAGAGAACTGCCGCCACCCGACTTGGCTACGTCCTTTCCTTCCTTGCTTGTCTCCCCATTTTTTGTTTTTGTTTTGTTTGTTTCGGATAAATTTCAGAAGCTACAAGTATCTTAGGTTCACCATTCTAAGTATAATTGTTACTATACTATAGACCAAATACTAATAAAATGCTGGTTAAAAAAAAAACATTGTTTAAAATTTGTTCGACATTTATCCACTGTAATTTTTTATTACATGTATTGAAATTTGCACTGTTTTCACTGAAAGACAAGGAAAATTAAAGCATTTCTTTGTATAATCCACTCCTCAAACTAAGCTTTACTTGCTAAAATTTACTTATCTCATTGTTGATATTTTTAAAGAATATATTTTTATATACTTATGGGGCCCATATGAAACAGCGCTCTGATTTTTAAAATAAAAATCTGAATTCTATTCTCTATCTTCTTGACTTTATAGCCTCTGCTTTTTATAGTCTTTTTAATGTTATATAAGTAATATATATATTCTTGGTAGAAAGTTTTAATAAAGGAAGGCAAAAAAAATCAAGATCTATTTTGATTTATGATTCACTATTTATGGATAATCACTACATCTTAGTGTTTTTATTCTAGTTTTACCTACACAAATGATATACATTCTTATTACTATATGTAGGTATTATGTTAAAACATTGTATATTATCTTCAGTTTTCTTTCCAAAGGCCTTAAAAGGTTTGACTTGCATTTATATTATAAATAGGAAAACTGAGGCTTAGAGAATCTTGCATAAGGTCACACAGATAATATGTATAGCTAGAATTTGTTATATGTCCCATTAAAATTTTCTTCTTAGAAAAAGTGTATTATATATTACTATTAAGAGTTCTGTAGTATTTTCTGCATTGAATCATTGCATGTGGTTCAAAGGTTACTCCTAAAGTCCTCAGATCATATGCTTCTTTCAAGGCATTACCTTTGGAAATATTTCATAAGTGGTTTATAGCTATTATGTACTTTAATAATCTGTGACTATAAGCTCTGTAAGCAGTTAAAAGTCCCAGCTCCCAGTTCCAAGCCTGCATATAGAGGACAGCTAATAAATACATTTGCTTAATGCTAAGTGAAAAACTTGTGACATCCTACCATGTCAGTAACTACAGATTACAGCATTGTTTTTAATTCATACACAGTATTCCATTTTATGGACATTCTATTGGCACATTTCTCCAATTTCTTTCCTGGAATTGGACTTCAGGGCTCAAAAGTATGTACATTTTAATAATAGTAAAAATTAATCAGAGTGCCGTTCCTATGTATTAGGAAATCTCCTAATGCTTTACCCAGATTTTCTCATAATCCCTACAACAGATCTGCGGCATAGGTACTCTTGACATTTCCGGTTTACCAATGAGGAAACTAAGGCTTACCTTACCAAAACAGGCTAGTTAGTGGTGGTGTCTGACTCCAAAGTATGTGTCATTAACCATTCTACTAGGCTACACTTGATACATATCATCAAATTAAACCTCTACAAAGCTGTCTCAACGTATTTTCCTCGGCAGCATAAGAGAGTTCCTATTTCTCTACAATTATGGCAATCTTGGGAATATTCTTTCTTACCTATTTCTTTCAAAAAAAACAAAAAAACAAAACCTGATCCATTTTTTTTATGGCTGAATAAAAATAATACCCACCGAGATATGCAACTTCTTTCCAGCACAGGCCCATTTCTTTCCTCCATTCATCTACAACTGCTAGTTTATCTGGTACATTGACTTCCATTTTGCAATCCAGTTTTAAGGAAGAGAGTGTCTGCTTTGAACAGGCCCTTTCTGAGATTAACCTCACCTTAAATTTTAAAACAGAGAAGGGAAAATTAGAAAATGAAGGAAACAAATCTTTCACAGCAAAGTAATACCTTGTAAATAACACCGGACACAAGTGAGTGATCCTTTGACCTTCTGAAGGACCAAGTAAGTAAAATCAACTAACCGTTATTTTAAAGTAATGAAATTTAAAACATTTTATCTCTAATAGTTCAATAAAGGTGAAGGGCACTATTTTCTACAGTGGAAAGGATTTTATGTACAGGTAAAAAATACAACACACATTGCCTGATATTAATCTAAGATTCTCCTATAAGTCAGTTTATCCAGAGGAGTATCTCTAGCTGTCTCTTGTGCTGCTTAGAAACACATACTTAAGATTTCTGGTGAATTATAAGAAGTTATCTTAGTTTTCATTTCTGAAAATACATTAAGTATTGTTATTTTGAATTTAAACTTTAACAATCATAAGCTACATTTTAAAAATCCACAAGATACTTGCTTTCTTCTAAATGCTGACACCTATGTTCTACACAACCTTTTGTTGCAAAATCCTATGTGAAATACTAGATAGCTCCTATTTAAAAATCATGTTTATGCTTACTAAATAAGCATGAAATACTATTTCTCAATGGCAATTTGCTAATTTTATTCATCTAACAGAAAACAGTATGACTGTTCTAGACATGTGAAGGCTAAATTTCAAATATTTTAATAGATAATAGTAAGGTAGTAATCTCCTATTTCCCTCATATGCAGCTTAACCCTCAATCATCACCTTACAAAAAATATTGCTATTTTCAGGGGGCACATACCTCAATACCACTTTTCTTTAATAAGCTTATCCCAATAGCATCTTTTATATCATAAGATATTATTTCTTTTTGGTCTCCTGATACATAAATGTGGCCATTGGTGAGACATCCATCAATATTGCAAACCAAAAGTTTTATCTCCTTAAGCTTCTCTTTGCCGAAATAGCCGTATCTAAAAGGAACCAAGAGAGACTGAATACAAGCACATCCTCATCACTTCCTCTCCACTGGCTCACAGCAGCAAACTTAACAACCCGTTCCCGTTCAATTACTCAAACATGCCCCTTATTCTGCATATACACTTCACCTTATGGTGCAAGAACTGCGGGTAGTGTGGTCTAACCAGACTGTTTCTCAAGTTACTGAATAAGCCATCTGTAGGTGTATTTTATGTATCCATCTTCCTCACATGAACAAACGAATGACAAAATCCTAAAATGTTTAGATTATCAGAAACTAGTGTAGAAGTCCAATAGACTTATTTACTAAAAGTCTGTTTGGGTCCAGTGCAGAGGCTTTGCAATTCACAAGTCTTGTTTTTACCTTAATACTCTTTGTTCTGCAATAGGCCAATCAATATCCACATCTATATCCACACTGTGCTCAGCTCGCATTTCGTAGTATGCCATTTTTCCACCCTAAGGATGGTACAAATGCCATCAGTACTGTTCTTAACATTCACTCACACATACTAAGAAGTTTATTGTAAAACAGAACAATGAATTCATTTCTACAGGAGAGAAAAAGGAGTAACCTAGAAGTGACATACAAATGATATTTTTAGAAGCTTTGTTTCTAATATATATTCAAACCAAAAACCTTGAACATTTTCAAGTTCTATCTATTCCATGCAAGTTTCCCCTTTTTCTTTAGGTAGATTTGTTTTAAGATTGAAAAAAGCGGAAATACCCATCCTCCAGTATTCTGACTACCAGGTAACTGGATCTCCCTTTTTTCTGGCAGTCTCTCCCATCATTACCCAAAACAGCTTGTGGAGGGTAGTATCTATATGCAAACTTAACTGAACAGCCAGTCTACAGTTTGCTCACACACTGACCAGAAGATTAGAAAAAAATACTTTTCCCTTAGAGCATAATTTGCATTAGAATTTTTACAACAGAGTACAGTTTTGTGGGTTTTTTTAAAATCCTAGTTTTGAGTAACATAAGGACCTCAATTCAAATCCTGATAGTACCATTTTACCTGTTCACGCCCTGAGACAATTTCAGAGCTGCTATTTCTGGCTCTTTAAAACTGGGCTAAGAATGTCTACGTTACTCTGTTCCTATGCAGTCAGACGACCTACGGTATGGGAACTGTTTCCTATAGTCCATAGTGAGGGCCGAGTAAGTACCTGCCACAGCTAAAAGGAACAAACAGTATTTGATGTATCCATGTAGGTTCTAAAGATGAGAGAGAAAGCCAACCCCTCTATTTTAAAATGAGAGCAATGAGACTCAAATAGATAAAATGATATATTGAAGTTACACAGTTAGAGATAGAACCCTAATCCAGTTTTCCTAATGCCCAGGTTAGAACTCTTTTTCTCTTTTTAAAGCAACTCATTTCTATTCAATCACAAAGCAACAGTAACAAACCATAGATTAAAAACAGTTTTGACTGGAATAATACAAATTTAAGAACACATGTAAAACATTCAACACTTGATTCATTTCTTATTTCAGTGTGAGAGCTGTACAGAGTTCCACTCCTTGTATACGGATCCGAAAGATCACTTTGGGGTAAGCCTGTAGGATGAAAGCCTCAGATGATAAATCTTGTCAGCTGCTGCCTTTCCTCTAGGGGTTGATGCTTTCCTCTCTGAGCTGCGCCTTACTTCTTGCCTAGAACTCAAAGCATACATATAAAAGGGTTTAAAAGGTTTTGGCAAAGTGAAGTCACAAACCTGTAAATAACCCATCTCTATCAAATGTCTTTTAGCAAAATAAAATGAGCCATTTTCATACAATTCTCCATCCCAGTCTTGTCTGCGAGGCCGTTTAGCAGGATTCAAATTCAGAGGCTCAGTCACTTCACGAACTAAAAGCAAAAAGCTATGTAAGTCCACATTGCTTTGAATACTGAAAATGTTTATTTGGTATTTTTTAAAAAAGCAAAAATAAACTAAGAATATAGAATATTTCTGTGTCTAATTAGAAGAATTATTTAAAGAACAAAGTTCCTAAATAAGTTTGATGATTAACCTTTGCCTTCTAACCATATTTAATAAGGACTTAATAATATTTATTATTTAATAGAAAAATATTTTATAGGAATTCTGAATAATTGAGGTTTTAAGATACTTATACAAATATAAGGTTTTGGGAGAACATTAAGGCAACCTTAAAGTAGCTTCAAAAGAACTCAACTTGTCATAAGATACCATATTCAATATATGAGCCCTTTAGTCTACTCATTATTTGCTTCTATGGAAATACAACATATGTGTTATTTATCTAATGTGGTTGTAAAATTACTTTTTCTGGAATTATTACCAAAAACTGAAGATTTTTTCCACTAAATTACTGAAACTTTGATATTGATCCAACTATTTCTACATATATATTCTTACCAGTAGTTTAAAATATACTAAGCATAATAAGGAATATTTGTATACTTATTACTATCCTTAATAATGAAGGCTTAGCAATATCAACATCAATGATTATAACATTATATAAATGAAGGCCTCAGTATTGGTATACAGGATTCCGTTGTCTTTTCACTAAATTCTACAATTCATTCTTGAGGTCTTCCTTTTTGGTGGAAGATTTCTATTCCCACAATTCTAAATGATTTCTATGGAGCTTATCAAACAAGTCTAGAACAAACATAACTGTGTTTGATCTAGAAAAATAACATATCTGTCTCAAAAGACAAAGGGTTAGAATGTCCCTCTGCAAAAAGTAAAAGCAGAGAATTAATTCGGTCCCTCTGTTTTGCCTCAGTAATCACAAGGCTTAGAACTGATTTTAAATATTGTTACCTACTACAGTTAAGAATCACATATTCTTTTTATTGCTTCCTTTCTACCCCTCTTATTCCTAAATAATATTTTTATATGAAAAAACTGATTCTGTATAAAATGACTAAAGACTGACGTAACAGATTACCTCCTTTCTGAATTTCACTCCAGCGAAACTGATGGCGTCTCACAACAGAGAAGACAGAATCATATCCTTCTTCTCGAATCATTTCTGCAACTTTCTGAAGGTCAGTAGGATGTAAACACGGAGAAGTAGCTTGAATATTTCCTACAATGTCAACCTCTTAAAAAGACAAAACAAATGAAAGGACATCAAAGTCCTTCAAAGCAAGCAAGACTAAGATCTTAAATTCAAATGTCAAGACAAGTCTTGTGAAATGATAAGCATAAAACTTTGAATATTCAGACTATTAAATTCATACCATTGTGATAATTAAGAAATTCTATGATGGCATCTAGTGAGGTAGAGCTGTCCTTTGAAACTTCAGAACTTCGTCGGTGAACCTGCGCACCAAACTGTTTGGCCACGGTCTCAATCTCATCGTGGTCTGTTGATACCCACACACTGTATAGGTATTTAAAAAATAAATAAATAAAAAGCCAAATCACTATAAGAAATCATTAGAGATAAAAAGGAGCTCTGCAACTCAAAAATATAACTCCTATAACGTTAGAAGAGATACCACTAAAATAAACTGCAGATTCGAGGTAATATAAATTTAAAGAACTATGAAGTATTTTTTATGTAAACTATATTGTGAAACGACTGCATGAGAAATGTCCCAGATATATTTATATTCACATGTGCATTTAAACTTTTATTATGTATATAAATATTATTTATGTAGCCTTAGATATGTATGGTGTTATAAAGTTGGAAAAAAATGATACTTGGTATTTTTCAGGCGACTGGTATATTAAGCAAAACAGTAGCATTAGAGGTTCAAATCTAAAGGAAATAAAGAAGATCCTATTTCTTATTCCATATCCAAATCCAAAATACTGTATAAAGTATTTTAATACACCTGTTAAAAAAGAAATGGTCTTGGCTTGACTAAATCATGGAGCTGGAAGAATTTCAAGTTTATTAGAGACTAAATGCTCTCTCGTCTGGGCTCAAAAGAAATCAGACCATTCAACATTCCTTTTTTTTTTTTTTGCCAACTAACAATGGGTATACTATAAACATTTGAACACAGAATCAACTGAAGTACAGTTATTGGTAACAATTATTAGACATGCAGAACATGCCTTGATTGGTTCAGGAGAGTTTAGTTTAACTGCTCCTTTAACCACAGCTTATGTAGCTCACCACTTAAGACTCAATGAAATGCTGCTTTCAGGAGGCATGCTAGTCTCTACTGAAGTTAAATTTTCTGGACCTTTACAAATCCCAACTGCTAGAAACAAAAGATGTGAATACTACTCTAGCCACATTTTAACTGATATTATGCAAAGACAATTTAATGACTTACAGTCTGTGGTATATGTGTATATTTTTCTTTTATCCACTGCATTCAACATCTACCAAGGGAAAGAGGAATTGCATGTTTCAAATGTCTGGGCTCTATTGTCAAGAATGTAAAGACAGAAACGAAAGAAAAATTTCCAGTATTTCTGGACTTCACTTATTAATTCAATTGCATTTATTCCCTTCAACATCTGCAGTAAGAGGACCTACATCTAGAGTTAAAGTCAACAACCCCTAAAATTTTTTCTAAGGCAGCCAAGTAAACAAGATGAACCACTGGCTCAGAAGTGTCTTCTTTACTGTTGTCACTATGTATAGGGAAGCACATAGGAGCCCTTGTTTTCCTCTCCTTGATTTTTGAAATAATCTTGGACAGATTTTTTACTGGAGAAATGTCACAAAGGTATATAATGAAGTAAAGTACCAATAAAAATTTAATGAACTTTAAAAATTGTTCAGGGAGAGTGGTAAGACAGTTACATAATAAAAAGTAAACAGTAAAAGCAAAAGAATGGTCTTTGACATCTAATTTACGTCACTAATTGAAATAAATTACTGAAGCCGTTTACTTTATTATTCTGGTCTTCTCTGTAATGAAAATTCAACACCTCAGGATTCAGGGATCTTTTTGAAATGCTTAAAAGGTAAATAAAAATAGGTTTTGGAAGAGGTATTTGCTCCTTTTCACCTCCCTTTTATCACTCATTCACTTCTTGACTCATGAAACGTTTGCTGAGTGCCTACTCTGTTTCAGGCCTTAGACAGTGGAGCTGTGCAGTCCATTTTCTTGAGAAACTCTTAGGCTACCAGTAAAGACAGGGGACCACATAGTACTCTAATTCCCTTTAAACCATTAGGGAAAGAAAGGTAGAGAAACAGTAACTAACTTCTCTATCATTCTTTGCTTTTTACAAAGTATTTTCAGAGTGCCTGCTACATAACAGGGGCTCAATATATATTTGCTGAACGAATGAAACTGTAAATGGTTAATAGCATGGGATCTGAAGGAAGGGGTTCAAATCCTGACTCTACCACATGCTAGCAATATGACTTTTGGCAAAACCTATAGTCTCCCCAAGGCTCAATTTTCAGAAACACAGGTGAAAATAATAGTAATTACCACATATGTTAGGAGGATTAAATGTAAACCACAACACATAATAAACATTTAATAAATGTTACTATCCAAAATCATAAAATATTAATGGTAAAAAAGGAACATATACACAATCTCATTTAATCTTCACACTGACTATTGGAAGGAAAATTGAAGTTCTGCTTTCAGACCTTCAGAGGTCCAAATGTGTAATTTGTATGCATTATGTGTGGCAAAAGCACAAGGAGTATGAAAATAGCATCCCATATGTACACTTAATATACAATGATCATCATTTATTAATGAGATAAAATAAGTAGATAATTTTCCTTTGGTTTAGGGGAATCGGATGAAGTAGGGCAAAAGAGAATGATGAGCAAGTGAATAAACAGGCCTAATAAAATTTAAAATCAAGTATACTGTAAATGTCAAAGCCTAATGCCAATGGCTTTAGCCTCAAAGGAAGTCATACTACTTCCTAACTTTCCTAAATATCCTACTTTCCTAAATTTCCTACTACTTTCCTAAATATCAAGGAAAAACCTAACATTCTTGATGAACAGGAATTTCACAGTGACTATGATTATTTCAAATAATAAACTGCCACTTAAAGGATGACAGAGCACAGGCTTTTCATTGATCATAAATCCACCCCTAGAAATGAATATTATGACCTTATGCTTATTTTTCATGTTAGGCAACATTTCAAAAACCAGTTCACTCTGAGATCTATTTACACAGCACCGAACCACTGTTCAAGCTCTTACAAACTGAGCTCCAACAACTTTTTACTGAATGAAAAAAATTTTCTCTCAGCA